TTGTTTTGGATAACTGACACTTTCAAATGTCTAAAAAAAATCTACTGTTTGAAATGCAAATTTTGATGGAAATGAAACTTGAAAACAGGAATATTATTTTTTTCTGCTTTTCTGTTAGTGGTTGAATTCTAATTTGATGGAAGAATTTTAAAAAATAATTTCTGAGATTGAAAATACTGTCTTGTGTTTAGACTGGACATTAAGGAACATTGCAGACACCAGACCAGGCTTCTGTGATGGGTTGACCCTGGCTAGACACCAAGTGTGCAGCAAAGCTGCTCTGTCACTGCCCTCCTCACTTGGGCAGGGGAGAGAAAATACAACAAAAGGCTCATGCTTGAGATAAGGGCAGAGAGAGATCACTCGCCACTTACTGTCATAGGCAAAAGAGATTCCACTTGGGAAAAGTAACTGAATATATTAACAATCAGGATTTGAGAGATAATGAGAAATAAACTGAAAGCTTAAGACACCTTCTCTCCACCCCTCCCTTTTTCCTGGTTTCAGCTTCACTCCTGATTTTCTCTCCCTCCTCCCCCCAGCAGCACAGGGGCTGGGGGAGCAGGGACTGTGGTCAGTTTGTCACACATGGTCTCAGGCGCTCCTTCCTCCCCAGGGAAGGACTTCTCACACTTCCCCTGCTTGAGTGTGGATCCCTTCCATTGGGTGCAATCTTTCAGGAACAGGCTGATCCAGTGTGGGTTCCCTGCTGGGTGACAAGTCCTGCTAGCAAACCTGCTCCAGCTTGGGCTTCCCCCAAAGCCAAAGCCATTTGTGAATCTGCCTGCTCCAGCATGGGCTGCAGGTGGATCTCTGCTCCCCCATGGGCTGCAGGGAAATCTCAGCTCTGATGTCTGGAGCACCTCCTGCCCCTCATTCTGCACTGACCTTGGGGTCTGCAGGGCTGTTTCTCTCACATGCTCTTACTCCTCTCTTCTCTGGCTGCAGTTGCTGCCATTGAAGTTTCCCCTTCTTAATTCTTACCCAGGAAGTGCTACCGCCATTGCTGATGGGCTTGGCCTTGGCCAGCAACAGGTTTATCTTAGAGCTGGCTAACATTGGCTCTGTTGGACATAGAATTAGCTGGGTTGGAAAGGACCTCTGAGATCCAGCCCTTGATCCACTACCACTGCGGTTACTAGACCATGGCACTCAGTGCCACATCCAGTCTCATCTTAAAAACCTCCAGTGATGGAGAATCCACCACTTCCCTGGGCAGCCCATTCCAATGCTTGATTACCATCTCTGTAAAGAATTTCTTCCTAATATCTAACCTAAACTTCCCCTGGCAGAGCTTAAAACCGTGCCCTCTTGTCTTACTGATAGTTGCCTGGGAGAAGAGACCAACGCCTGCGTGTCTACAACCTCCTTTCAGGCAATTGTAGAGTGATGAGGTCTCCTCTGAGCCTCCTCTTCTGCAGGCTACATGGAGAATCTTGTGGCAGGTTCTCCCAGGAGCCACCCCTGTAGCCACCAGCCCCCCTCCTGCTACCAAAAATTTCACCACCCAAACCCAGTACAGATTCCTAGAGAGGTGGTCAGTGCCCCAAGCCTGCCAGGATTTAAAAGGTATTTGCCAATGCCCTTAATAACATGTGTTAACATGGTCAGCCAACTGTGTAGAATCTATCGTCTAAATATTTTATGTTGTATTAATTATAAGTTAGTAATGGGGAGAACTGAAAGGTACTATGAGTGAGCAGTCAGCTTTGGTAACTCTATTTTATTATGTAACTGCTCTGTAGCAAGCAACTACATAGTATCATGAAACCCTTCTGTTTCCTTGTAGCTTGTAACCATTGATGTTTTATATTGTACTGTCATTTAATGCTCATTATGATTAAAATATATAAACTATATTCCACTAAAATGCACACATAACTCTAGTTTTCACTGTTCATTCTTTAGACTGCCGGTGAAGTTGGGATAATTGAAAGTATCCAGCTGAAAAACTTCATGTGCCATTCAAATCTGGGGCCTTTTCAGTTTGGATCAAATATCAATTTCGTTGTTGGAAGAAATGGAAGTAAGTATTAATTGCATAATTTCTTTGTCAAAGAACACTTTTGTTAATAATTTAGATGATGTAATGTTTATTTGAAAAAGAATTCTTTGCCATGTTGTAGGCATGGGCAAGGATTCACTTTTGAATTTGGAAGCCACAGAGGTCTATCCCAATAAGGCAAGGCTGATGAAAGAGTTAGGTCGTAAATGTGGAGATTTTTGCAAAATATAATGTGAATATAAATATTTTCATAGCCAAATAAATTTATATTTGAACTAAATGTACCTGTATGTTTATTATTAAATGCACAGTAATTGTCCAAGTGCCTGCAGTGCCTGTCGCTGAGGTTGGAGGAGCCTCGGTGGTTATACTGGGGGGTTGGAGTAGGGGCTAATAGTTTCCTTAATGGTAAACAAGACCTGAACCACATTCAGCAACATCCTACTTCCTGATGGTTTCAACTTCCCAAGGATGTTCAAAATTTTCAGAATTCTCAAGTGCTGTTCCATTTCTCCTGGAAGGGGACGATTCCGCCCCGCAGGCTGGCTCTCGGGGAGGAAGGCAGGAGGTGTAATGGTCAGTAGTTGCCGCGAGGTGGCCCCCGAGGCCCAGGCGTGAGGGAGATGCTGAGCGCACAGGCGAGACTCCCAACCAGTTCTGTCACTTCATATGAGCCAGGATTACAAAATACTGCGAAATGATAGCCTTAGCCCAAGCCCCAAAGGTGATGAGCACCAAAATGGGGAGCACATCCTGCAAGCAAGGTGCTACATAATGCAACTCTGAGAACTAGCGCAATGACTCTGAGAGCAAACAAATCAACATTGTGACCAGCAGCTATTGAACTGAGTGATAATGAAAGCTTACAACGAATTCATTTTAACACACTCTGGTCAGTTCTGTTGTTATGTCAACCCTTTTATGCCCTGTGATGGGCACCAAAAATGACTGTTGTTGTTTAATCCCTGCTGGGAACTAAGCACTGTGCAGCTGCTTGCTCACTCCCCTGCATCTCCCAGTGGGATGGGAAGGAGAATCTGAAAAAGATAAAACCTGTGGTATGAGGTCAGAACAGTTTAATGACTGAAATAAAATAAATTATTTTAATAATTATAATAAACCCCAAGATAAACAAGTGGTGCACAGTACAGTTGCTCACAACCATCCCATCCTGAGCAGCAATCAGCAGCTCCTGGCCAACACTCCCCAGTTCATGCACTGGGCGTGGCATTCTATTGTATGGAATATCCCCTTGGCCAGTTTGGGTCAGGTTTCCTGGCCATTTTCCCTCCTGTCTTCATGTGCTCCTCCTGGCAGAGCATGAGACCTGAGACTTTTCAGGTTTGGGTAATGACTACCCCAACAGTAGTGTTTGGGTAAACACTACTAAGCAACAACCAAAATGTTAGTGTGTTACCAGCACTGCTCTCATGCTGAACCCAAAACACAGCACTGTACCATCTACTAGGAAGCAAAATCAGGACAGTAGGTCATGTAGAAACTATTATAGGAAAAGAAAGTGATATTTATACAAGCTAACTTTTTGTTAGAATTTAAATTTTGAGAGCTTAAAACCTTTAAGATAGGTACTATGTATTTGATTTCTTTTGTTGTATACATGTTTTTAGTATGCCCTTAAGGAAGGGGACATTCCTTCCTCCTGACCTAGAACATGCTGAATGCAAATTGCTAGATAGTACTAACAGGTTTGGCTCAGCATGTTGGGTTTTTTTAGGGAGAACTGTAGAAATGGCAGATACTTTCCTAGTGTTATTGTTATGTTTGTTCAATAAGGACAGAATTTGGACTTCTAATGCATGAATATATAATCAGCCAAACAAAAATCTATAATATGGGTGAACTGGAGAAGTTATAAGAACTTCCCTTTAAAACAAGTTCAATGCTTCTATTACAGGTGGAAAAAGTTCTGTTTTAACTGGTCTTATTGTTGGGCTTGGTGGAAAAGCCACTGCAACTAATAGAGGTTCCTCATTAAAAATGTTTATTCGAGATGGAGAGACGTAAGTAAAACTTCTTTAGTTTTAAAGTTGCATATGCTGTTTAGTCATTCAGGTTAGCTGGTGAGTTTTCTGTTCACTGTCACTTTCTACATCTTCTTATTGGATCCACCAGGCTTCAATAAAAAGCAAAACAATGAAGAGACCATATTTACCCCTCCAAAAAAAAAACTACAAACAAAAAAATTAGAAATTTTACCAGTAGTATACCGTTATTTCTGAATGTTGTGGTTTCAAAACCAGCTGGAAATGACACTGCAAGCAGCCATTCCCCTTCACCTCCATCTGCTACAGTGAGAGAGGGAGAAAAGCAGAGATTATGGGTTGGGATAACAATTTACTGAAAAAAACCAGCAATGAGATAAGGAAAACAAACAGTAACAACAACAGTACTAATAACAACAGTGTATAAAATAGGGTGATTACATGCAGAAATGCTCAGTTAGTCCGACTCAACCTGACTGCACCACAGCCCAAGATTCAGAGCTCCCCAGACAAAGAAGAAAATGGCGGGTGAAGGTGTCTTTGTCCGTTCCTGCCCCAGTAAAGAAAAAAAGCAATAGCGGACAAATTGTCCAAATCCTCTCTCACTCCCCACTCTCGTGACAACAAAAAGCAGTGATGGACAAAGCCCCCAGGAGGACTGGAGGCACCCCACTCTCACTGCCTGCTTTCCCTGGAGGAAAGGAACGAAATGGCGGCAGTTCTGTGTCGCGTTCCCCTCTTCTTCCACCCGCAGCAACGTCACCCAGTGGTGACGTGGGTGCCATAGAATAACAACCCCGCTGCCCTCACAGCAACTGTGAGAAAATGAACTCTGGCCTGGCTGAAACTAGGACACAGAACTAGCTAACATGGTGGTATGTCCTCTGTATTGCCCTCTTCTCGTGTGTTACTTCCTATTCTTTTCTATGTAGTTCCTACCGAATAATTGAGATCATTGCAAAAAAATCCCGGGGAACTAGTTACTGTTTTGCAAGCAGTGAGGTTAATTATTTTTCAGTCTTTCTGGTAATGTGAATGAATATACAAGATAAAGACCTTGACTTACAGGTGGGTATTTAAACGATGCAGGAAGTGGTCTGCTGTCAGAGTAGGGATAACACATTCAGGGAAACCAATAACAAAATAGATTTAGGAGTTTACATTTACCTAAAGCTGTAACTCGGAGTCACAGCCTTTTCCTTTCAAAGGTGCTTCGAGTAAATTTTTGGCAGAACCTTCCTTATGTGTATTAACTTAAAATTTCAGCACTCACTCAAGAAACAGAAAATAGGAATTCAGAAGTGAAAGCATATCTCATCTTTTCTAGAAGAATACCTTAAGCATTCTGGTATAGATTACTTTGGTTAGGCTGTAGAAGCCAAGCAACTGTTTTCTATGGAAGAAAACAGGAGAACAACAAAAAAGCAACTTGAATCTGCAAGCTAAAAATGGGGGCACTCATATGGGAAGGGAAGGTGGGGGAAATCTGCTCTCACAATTGTTAATGAGGAAGGTGCAAACAGATAGCGTATGGCAGCCTTTCTGGATGTGTATCTGATGCTGTTTTGGCTCAAACAACATAAATATATATTGTTCTGATTGGTACTTTGACCGACTTGCAGTTTTGACCCATAGTAGACATGAAAATGTGTATGTAAAATTAGAATGTTTTGATTTTTTTGGTTAGATTTGAAATGAATTTCAGTTGTCTTTCTTATTATTTTCTTTTTTTTTTTTTCAGTTCTGCAGATATTTCCATAACTTTGCGAAACCAGGGCAGAGATGCATTTAGACCAGAATTGTATGGTAACTCTATTATTGTGAATCAGCACATTAATCAGGATGGAAACAGAAGTTACAAACTGAAAGACGAATCTGGTTGGTCGTAGTTTGCTTTGTTCTCAGTCTTAGAAGTTCTTTAAATGTTTTCATTGCTTTAAATGATGTTAGTAAAGGGAGAGGTTATTTCATAGAATCATTTAAGGGTGATGACACTGTCCATTTAAACTGTGTGTTTACTTCAGACTAAGAATATTTTAATATGTCAAAATATTATGTATTTATTGATATATATTTATTATGTCAGGTTCTGCATTATGCTTTTTTTTTTTTACAAAAGTCTGACTGTATGATGAGGGTGAACATAGTTCTTTTAGTCTTTTTGAGGTTCTATTGAGTTTGCTGATTTACCTGTATTCTGTCACAGTGGGTTTATGAGGCAACAAGGGACTTGAATTACAAATCTTTTTGTGCAAATGCAAATATATTAGAAAAAAACCCCAAACAACTAGTGTTTCTCATTTAGGACTAAATCCATGTTACAAAAAGATTAATCTCATTTTTTACATTGCTACATTGAACAAAAGACTGGTACATTGTTTGTCTTTTTACTTTAGACCCATTAGTATTTTTCCTCTGTTTTTTTTCCATTAGGACGCCTAGTTTCTTCAAAGAAAGAGGATCTCGTAAAAATACTGGATCATTTTAATATACAGGTAGTTGCTGTGTTTAAATTCTGTGCAATTTCAGACGTCAGCATGCGATATTATAATTCTTTCATTAAAAAGCAATTTTTTCTCATTTCCTTAAATGGAAGACGTTTATTCCTTCCATGTTTTTTCAGAATCAAATGCATCAGAAAAAGAAAAATTGAAATGTATACCTCATCCAACGCAAGATAAGATTCTGTCCCAGGCAGCTAAGTAATTACTATCATCTGTGAGCCATGAGTCATGTATCCTGTTGATGGAAGTCCTAGCATAGGTTTCTTTTGTATTTGGAGGGAGTTTTTATGCTGATTATTTCAGTGTTTTCTGTGGAAGAAATTTGAGTGTGTTTTTGCTGCTTAAGTGATTAATAAAAGATCAGGTAATGCACATGAAGTTTAAAATATTCAACATACTTAAAATTTCAAGTAACAAACTTCAGCTGGTATGTATTGATTTTTTTGTGTGGAAACTTCTGTAAGAATATATGGGTCAATTCATTGCACTTAAAGCAATACTTTAGTCAATTAAATAATGAGAAATACAACATTGGACAAAATTTCTAATGCTGATCTTGTTAATTAAATGGAGCTTACAGGCACTGTCTTTATAGAAGTCATCATCTTGGAATCAGTTCCTTAGTTGTCCTTGCTGTGGTTTGATTTTGTACTTGATGGAGTTGGATTTCTAAACTTTCTGTTTGTTATTGGTTTTGCTTGTTGTGTTTTGTATTTTTTAAAGAGATAAGAGGTTTAGAAATCTTAATTTCTGAATCTTATTATTGAGTTGCAGCCCATGGAACAGGGAGATGGTTTTCTCACTTTCATGGATTTGCAGTTACATGATAACTATTCTATTCAAAATAAAACAAAAGCGATTATTTTTTGCAGGTAGATAATCCTGTGACTATTTTAACCCAAGAGATGAGTAAACAGTTTTTACAGACTAAAAGTGGAAGTGACAAGTATAAGGTAAGAAAAATAATTGAACATTTTGACTAAACATTAGAATACTGATTTCAAATTTTTAGAGGCAGCATTTGGAGGGGCAAAAAAATCAGATTCCTTGATTTTAATAACCTGTTGTGGTTTAACTCAGGTAAGCTGCTCAATACCACACGACCACTCACTTCCCTTTGGTGCTTCCCTCCAGCTCGGGATGGGGTAAGAGGAACAGAAGGGTACAATAAAACAAATTAAAGGGATGAGATAAAAATTATTTTAGAAAAGTGCAGAGAAAGCTGGAAGGAGAGAGAAAGAAAGTGAAAAAAAACAAGAGATGCAAAGGCAATTGCTCACCACCTCCAGTTGGTAGACCAGTGCCTAACCAGTTTCCAACCAAAAAATGGCTAATCTCCCTAAATCCTCTCTTATCCCTTTTTTTTGCTGAGCATGGCTGGGCTGGTTTGGGCTGGGATAGAGTTAATTTTCTTCATGGCAGCTAATATAGGGCTACCTTGTGGATTGTGCTGAAAACAGTTTTGATAACATGGAGGTATTTTTGTTATTGCTATTTTTGTAAGTGCTGAGCAGTGCTTACTGAACACAGTCAAGGCTTTTTCTGCTTCTCGCCACACCTCACTAGCAAGGAGCCTGGGGGTGCACAAGGAGTTGAGAGGGGTTATAGCTGGAACAGCTGATCCCAGCTGACCCAAGGGATATCCCAGACCATATGGCATCATGCTCAGCACGTAGAGCTGGGGAAAGAAGAAGGAATTAGAAGACAGAGTGATGGATTTGTCTTCCTAAATCACATGATGGAGCCCTGCTTTCCTGGGGATGCCTGAATGCCTGCCTGCCTATGGGAAGTGATGAATGAATTCCTTGTTTTGCTTTGCTTGTGTGTGTAGCTTTTCCTTTATTAAATAATTTTTATCTTAATCAACGAGTTTTCTTGCTTTTACTTTTCTGTTCTTTCCCCCATCACACCAAGGGGAAGTGAGTGAGCAGCTGTGGGGAGCTGAGTTGCTGGCAGGGGCTGAACCATGACAATGAAGTTTCATGGGGTGGCATATCTCTTTGGGATCAACTGCCTAATTGTATCCCTTCCCAACTTCTTGCACACCCTGCTAATGTACTCACTGGGAGGGCAGAGTGAGAAACAGGAGGTCTTGATGCAGCAGCTAAAATATTAGGGTCTTGTCAGTATTGTTTTGATCACACATCTAAAATACAGCACCATAAAAGTTGCTATGAAGAAACTTAACTCCATCCTGCCCAGAGCCAGCACACTGTCTGATTGTAGCAGTCACTCACTTGCACAAACAATTTTTTTAAAGTTTATTCTCTCTAAAGACATTGATAAAATTAAATTTCAGGGCACTGCTGAGTTAGTTCATTATTCAGAAATACCACTGTTGCAAATGAGTGTTTTAGGTTACTCAAAGAACCACTGGCACAAGTATCAGCAAAAGCAGGTTTAATATTAAAATGAAAGCACAACAAAGTTTGTCAACAAGGTTCACTCTTCCTACTTAACTGGATGGTTAAAGCACACAGAGGAAAATTGTACTAAAACCTGTAATCAATCAAGCTAAGACTAAAATCAACCTGAAACGATCGACATGGAGGCTGGTGATGGGAAAAGGGTAAAGATAAAAAGGAGTAAGAGAGGCCTGCCCGTTAAATCACAAGGTTCAGGGTACCTTGCCAAACTCAGCCTCAGACTTGACTATTAGGCTTAAAGATTTTGACAGCACTTAAACTTGATAGCACTAATTGATAGCCTAATTTAAACATTTTAACAAAAGATTCTTACAGAATTTACTACAGCACAGTGGTAACTCACTTAGAGGCCTAATTTACTTAAGAGTCTAAGAGGACGACATTCATAATATATTTGCTAGAGCATATTCACGTGCCCACAAACTGAAACAGTAGGTACGAGGTGTATCCCTGGGAAAAATTCCCATTGAATTCAGGGAAGTATTCACTTTGGATGCCTTTGTATCATCTCAACAGGTTGATTCTTGATACTTTCTCTGGGGTATCAGCCCAGGCTCTGTTGTCAGCTTCCGAGTAAATTTGAGAGCTCACTGGCTCACAGAGCTGTCCCTCTCACAGAGGGAGATGCTGGTCACAGCCCACTAAGGTCCAGGATAGCTCAAAGGGTCTCACTTAGGACTGCTATTTATAGGGATGCAAGAGGGTGGACTTTAATCATAGTAATGTTTCATCCTGGCCACAATTTGGGTATGTAACTTACTTTGAAAGTTCAGTAACAAAAATGTTATTCCACATGGGTTGTTATTCAGGCAAGAAAAGTAAGGTTCCAAGGCAGTTTTGTTAAAAATAAGAGCTCATCAGACAGCGTAAGTTCCTGGGAGCAGAGAGTGTTTCCAATAAGCTCCTGAGGAGCTGAGCCCAGGTGCTGTTCATCAAGGCCAAGACCCAAGAAGCATTTCTGATATCACAGTGCAGCCTGAGAAGGGGATGGAAGTTGCACCACCAGAACCTCACCATTTACTTTACTTTGGGTGTCATTCAGCCTGAAGAGAGGTTGGGATGAATGGTCATTCTGTGGCAATTAAAGTTCTCTTAGATAAGATGCCGAACCTGACATCTGCACATTTATTCCTTTTTAGTTTTTTATGAAGGCAACTCAGCTGGAACAAATGAAAGAAGACTATTCATGTGTTGAGAAAACTCAACAGAATACACGTATTCAGATAGAACAAGGAAAAGAGGTATGCAAAAGTTAAAGTAATTATTTGGAAAGATCTGAGTACTGTAAAAACTGTAGGACTTAAACTGCATAGTTTTGATTTCATTAGGTCTTAGTGACATTAAATTTAAAAAAGCCACAAATCTTTCCAAGATTTCGTTCTACATCACAACTTTTTGCACTCATGGTGAACCTCTTCTTTTTTCAGCGTGTTGAGGAGCTTAAGCAGATTTATTTAGAAAAAAAGGAACGCTACAAAAGCATCGCATTTGTGAATGACATGCGAAGACATCTCGAAGATTTGAAACATAATATGGCGTGGGCAGTGGTAAATGTCTTGCTGAAGAATGTTTGTTCATATGAAATGTACTTCATTCTCAGTCTATTGCAGACATTCTGATACACGCTAATATAGGCTTCTTTTTAGGTGAGTGAGATGGAAAAAGAAATTGAGCCAATCAAAGAAGGCATCAAGGCTGAAGAAGCAAATACAGAGTTTATTCAGAAGGTAGAAGAATGGCAGGTACATATATGGTTTAAACTATTCTAGTTTTTGTCACTCCCTGCCTCAGAGATCTGTCATGTAGGTTTTCTTGGGTATCATTGCCTACAGAAAAGATCAGTGATTTCAGGAGACCTCTGGAATTCTTTGACTTCTTAAAACTTCTGTAGGTAGCAAGAAAGAATAATTTTGTCAGATATTCAGATTCACCTATGAAATACATATTTTTACAGAGAAATACTAGGCATCATTATTGCAAATTCAGAATCATAGAATGATTTGGGTTGGTTTGGATTGTATAGTTCCAGCCTTCCTGCCATGGGCAGGGACACCTTCCCCCAGATCAGGTTCCTCAGTGCCCCATCCAACCTGGTGTTGAACACTGCCAGGGATGGGGCAGCCATAGCTTCTCTGGGCAACCTGTGCCAGTGCCTCAGCACCCTCATGGGAAAGAATTTATTCCATATATCTAAATTTCCCTTCTTTCAATTTGAACCTGTTACTCCCTGTCCTGTCACTACAGAGGATGAAGAGTCCCTCTCAAGCTTCCTTGTAAGTCCCCTTCAGATGCTCAAAGGCTGATATGAGGTCTCTGCACAAACTTTTGTTCTGTTCTCTGGGATGAACAGCCGTAAAACTTTTCAATCTATTAAAACTCTGTCTCCAAATGTTCTTTATTAGGACTCATTTTCCTTTTTTAAAAAAAAAAAAATTTGTGGGTTTGTTTCTTTGTTTTGGGTATTTTTTTAAGTATTTGATTTACAATTGAGGCATTTTTGCATTGAGATGAACATGTCTGTGTAGTTCTGAAGGAACCAGATGGTGGTTTAACTTCTGATGTTGTGTTACTTGACCTTATTGTATCAAGAGTCCTGTGTTTGAGTAAACCATGAGATAGGAAAAAAAGTTGATGTTTATTTCACAGATTTAGTAGTCTGTTGGTTTCCTGAGAATGTCCATTTATTAATTTTCATCTTTGTATGTCCATAGTGGCAATGAAAAATTTTGCTCCATTACTACTTGTATATCATTCTCTTTTTTCACCAAAGGTAAAAGTGAATGAAGCAGAAAAAAAGTACAAAGCAATACAAGACAGATTAGAAACAGTAAGTGAAGAAGCACAAACCCTTCATCCTCTGTGTATTTCTTTGAAGGCTGAAGTGCAGGCAAAAAGAAAAGCCGTCAATGAAATTGAGGTAGGCAAAAAGTTCGTACCAGTTTAAAGCTTTAATCTTGTCCATGCTCTAACCTTCTGTACTTCTGCATCTTTGTCTTGGCCTCCTGAATCCATAGTGCAGTTCAAAACAGGTACAATTTCCTGCCTGACTGGCAAGTTAGTTTCTGGTCAGGGGCCCTGGGGTTTATGTCTTTACATAGGCTTTAATCAGTGTTAAACTTAGGTCAAAATAAATAAATAAATTTAATTCTTGAAAATCGAGTTATATTTGTCTGGTTTGGTGCTGTTCAGTATTTATTTACTCAAAACTTACGATTTTTTTGAAATTCTTTCTTTCTTCTGTTTCTTAAATGACTGTATCCTATTTCCTTCATAGGTGGTTTATAATCGTTTCAAAACAGAGTTAAAACGTCTGGGAAAAGATGATGAACAGCTGCATAAACGAATTGAAGAACTGAAGAGCAGGTAAATACAGATACAGTGGTTATGATGTATGTTTATTATATAGGTATGAAAGAAGTGAGCTCTTCTGATTAATGAGAAAATCTGCAGTAATAGAAAATATTTATTTACATCTTACAGGGTCCAATTAAATATCCAAATGTTTCTGATCTTGTTTCTTTGCATGCCAAGACTTTGACTAGAATATGATGAAGTAACTGGGTAGCAAAAAAGGTGGTTTTGTTTTTTTTGTTTGGTGATGATAATAGACATTTTCTAGCTTCCGTGGTGTCACAAAACAAATATACCTTAAACTAAATGCAGTAGGAATGTAACTGGGGAGAGTTACATGTGATTACAAATTTTAAAAAAATAAATAAAAAATTGGGACTTATGCCATATAGATTTTGTAAATGCACAGAGTGTTAAACGTAACTTTCTGATACATAAATCTTCTGTTTGCTGCAAGTAATAAAGTCACCTATAAATGACCAGTATGGTGTTAAAATATTGAAGTATATTCTTTTCTAGTGCTAATCAGGTTTCAGAGCCTGAAAAATTGGAAAGACAAAGGAAAATTACATACTTAAGGGAACAGTTAAAGGCATTCCGTGATGAAGAAATAATGATTGCTCAGCAGATGGATCAGTTTCAGCAGGCTATATATAGGTGTAGGGAAGAACATGCCAGGGTCAGGTAAGTCATGCTTTTTGAATGTAACTATTTACCTTTGGTTTAAGTTATAGAGAGATCCCTTGTTACGTACTTGTGTTCCCTGAGGTATTAGGCTCCAGTTTCCTTTTTTTTATCCCCTTGTTTATCTTAGCACTTGCTAAACTTTTTCTTTGACACTTCTGTGACTTAACTGAAAAACTTTTGGAACTTTGGAACTTTAAGAAAACTGTTCTTTTCATTAAAAGTGAAAGTTTTTAGTAATTTAAAACCTGATATAAATCCATGCTGTCAGTTTAATATCCTTCTTTCTTCTTTCCAATATCTGTATCTTACTCTCTTATCATCCTATGGGCAGATTACGATTGAAATGTTTTTTGTTAGTTTAATACACTGGTACATCCTGATACGATGGCACAAGATATGTAAAACATTATAAGAAAATAGATACACTTAGGGGTAATTATTGCATCTCTAGTTAAGGCACATTCATAGAGGCTTTGAGGCAAGTGCTTCAAGTACCAATTTAGTCCATACCCAAGCTGGAAAACCAAAGTACTCTGGCTTTGATTTGGAAACCTGAACTTCAGCAGTATTACCAGAGAGGATTATGGCAATGTCATTTATTATCTTGAAGGATTTGAGAATTGTTGCTTATTGCTCTTGATGTATTAGTTTAACCATCTTTTATTGATTATTATAACCAATACTTTGTGTTCTGTTGAAAGTCTTTTAGAAGACAGTGAAATTGAAGCATATAATTAGAAATAAATTTATTATAATTAAAAAAAAAGTCTTGTAAAACATTTGCAAAGTAGTAATTTTCTCTCTTGCTTTTTTGTCTCATGTTTCTTGAAACTATAAAAATATTGTTCTGTGTTCACCGTACCTAGATGTACGTTGAACTACTGACATCTTGATACACTGTGCTATTAGGAATTGAAGGCTTTATAACTTTTTTAGTCCAATTAAGGCTCTGTAACTACTAAAAAAATTCTGTTCTCTTAGGAGAGAAAACTCTAATGTGCAACAAGCACTGGATGCCAAGCAGAAACAGCTGAGAGAGCTGAAAGATAGTAAAACAGATACTTTGAAAAGATTTGGACCACATATACCAGGATTTGTTGAAGCAGTTGAAACAGCTTATAGGCAAGGGCGCTTTAAAAATAAACCTCTTGGACCTATAGGTAAGAATAACTACTGAAACAGGCACATTTTTTCACAGGAGTTCTTGTGTGGCTGCTGATGTAATCAGTGGTCTTTTAGGAAAATTATTTGTTCTTTAAGGAACTTCAGATATATCTTTTTCTTCTGTATTTCCTGAACTAAAAGTTTTATCCTGGTAGGTTATCTTTTACTTCTGCCATGAACTCGCTGACATCTTCTGGTTTTTCTCACTTTCCAGCTATTTGAATTGAGGTATTTTATGCAGCTAAAATAGTAAACTTCAAGTGCACCCTTCCAACTCCCCCACATCCTCAAAGCATCAGACTGCTGGGTAGCACTGTCCAGGTCTTAGACAGATTTTGTTCAAAGTGTCCAGTGGCTGACTTGTGGGCTTGTCAAACCTGAGATGTTTTGGGTGGATCAACTCAGACAGAGCCAACTGAGATTTTCTTGGGAAGTTGGCCTTTATTTGTTTTCTGTCCAGCTGTGACAGTGGCTGCTGTTTTCAGTTTGCAATGGGAGCAAAGACTTCAGCATATTCTGGAGGTGAAGGCCAAGTACTAAAATACTGCATTTGCTGCAGAGTAAGAACATGTACTACTGAAGACAGATGACAGATATAATGGAAATCTTCATGTTTAAGTTGCAGCATAGTTCTTTCACTGCCTTCATCCTTAAAGCATTAAATTGTTGATAAACCATCTTTGCCTTTATACACTACTGCCGAGGTGCCTTAAAATTGGTACCCTAAATGGAAGTTAGTAGAGACCTGTCGAAAATCTTGAAAGAAAATGTAGGCCTCCAACTATGTGTAGGTGTGTTTAGGAACAGAAATTATATATTTGTGTTCTCAGGGTAGCTTGTCTGTTGTGGAGTTTTTTATCTTTTAGTCAGCTTCTTAATTTTTTTTTCTACTTATAAGAAAGGTTTGTTTTAAACTCTTAAAAAAACCTGCAACACAAGACAACAAGAGCTTTGAGTAGTAAAAATGCTCTAGTGAATGTTTTGTTGTGGAACACAGCTCCTAAAACCTTTCCTTTTATGTTTTTTTAGGTGCTTTCATTCATCCGAAAGATCCTGAACTGACCTTGGGTATCGAAGCCTGTTTAAAGGGCCTAGTTCATGCATTTTGCTGTGATAATCATAGCGACGAAAAAACTCTACAATTACTGATGACAAAACATTACCCACGTGGATTTAGACCTCAAATAATTGTAAATAAATTCCAGAATAAAATTTATGATGTTAGACAGAGGTAAGTTATGTTTTGAAATTTGAATTTTGAAATTTGAAATTTGTTGCCTTGATGGTTTCAAATTATTTGTTGAAAAGAACTATTTTTGATTTTTTTTAAAGAATCTCATGTGAGTTTTATAAATTATGTTTTTTCTTCTTTTCTTCAGAGCTGCTTATCATCCAGAATTCCCATCTGTACTGACAGCATTGGAAATAGATCATGTGATGGTTGCCAATTGTTTGATCGATGTGAGGGGTATAGAAAAAGTCCTGCTAATTAAAGTAAGGCTTTAGGCTCCTGTTGGTCTTTAAAGAAACTTGTTTTCTCTGTGTGGAGCATCTGGCACCTTCACTGGTAGTGTCTGTAATGGATAAAAGGGGTAGAGCAAGTTTTGTTTCCCTTCCTGCCACTGAGCAGAGGTGAGGACTCTGATGGAACTAATGACACTTACTTTTTTCGGATTTTATTCTCCTCCAAAATCTCTCGTCCCAGTTTGTCCTCTGAAATTCCTACTGGAAAACAGGCAGCTCATGCTCTGTCGAGTGCAGAGCTGAGTGTTTATCAAGCGTGGCTGTCACTGAATGTATGTGCAGCTGAACTTTCTAGGCTTTTCTCATGGCAGGAATATTGGATTTGTTCTTCCCCCTCTGCCTTACCTAATCACTGATTTTAATGTTACCATCTTTGAGCCCTACCCGAACTATTTCAATTGAATCTGAATCTGAAGTATTCTAATATGAGGAACTGATGCTTCAGATTAGAGAACACTATTGCCTTGGACAAAGGCACTTGTGACCACTTAGTCTGGCACTGTCAGTGTGGGTTTTTTTATCAACGTTTGTTGGTAATGTTACCGACATTAAACTTTAATTGAATATTGTTTGATGTACTTCATATCTTGCTTTGGAAGATGGTTTCCTGTACATTTATTCCACTTCTGACTGCTAAATACACCTGTGCATAGGAACCTTTTGGTTTTTGGAGTTTTTTTCCCTTGGCAAATTACAAGGGATTGATTAGACTGTAGAATTTACAAGGTAGATAAATTAATAATAGAATAAAGTAAATGAGTAGCTAAATTTTGTGGGTTCTTGAGAACATAAATGTATTGTTCAACTAAGAAAAGTAGATTCTTGACATTATAGATTTTTTTCCACATTCTTTTATTACCGTATTTCTTATTTCATTAGGCATTGAAATTGTTTCTGGATGAGAGCATCTAGACAACTTTTAAATTGTTATCTTTAATTGTTGTTGCTTTTCTATTGGTATGATAAGGCCACTGTGTTTTTCAGAGCAGCCGTAGAGCTCGTGAGGTAATGCAGTCTAGTCGTCCCCCAGCAAACTGTAAAGAAGCTTTCACTGGTGAAGGTGATCATGTCTTTGAAAGACGGTATTACTCTTCCAATTACTCCAGACCCAAGTACCTCAGTCAAGATGTTGAAGCAGAAATAAGGTTAGCATCTTGTGATGTTGTGTTGGTATAAAAACTGTACTTATTGACATGAGTAGTGGAATTGCTTATTTGTCTATTTACATGGACACTACTCTCTAGTCTTTCCATTTTCTTTCTGAGGTTTACACTTCCTTCCTGAGAATTCTAGAAAATCTCTTTACTTCAGAGCCTTCTGTGACAGGTGCAAACCTGCATTGTATCTAGTTATCTTTCAGCTTGTGGCAAGTAAGGGTTTGTTGAACTGGATACTCCAGGAAATCTAGCTACCTTCTCTTTTAGTTTACAATTGGAGAAAATGAGTATGGAGTCAAAGCTGTTTCTTTTAAAATCTAACACTTGAACGGTGGTGTCATAGTTTACTGTAAGGGAAGCCTGATTTTTCAAACCAAAGTTGTTAGCACATATCCTACTACTGGTTTCAAACTTTTCATCTGTGCTTTCTTAGGCTTTTGGCTTCATTCATGGTAGGTATCTCTGAGAATTCCCTCACCTTTTATGTTTTCAAGGGTTTTCTCTCTCATTGCTTTCAATATGGTAGTTAAAAAAGCAAAATGTACTTCAAAGATTGCAAACTTGAACTGTCAGTAAATGAATTGGCAACAATAGATTACTTTTATTCTAAGGCTCAGATTATATTAGAGACATATTAGGTAAATAATTTTAGTATTAATAGCTGATAGTATAGACTGAATCAAATGTTAAAATTAATTTCTATACCTCAAAAGTTTTAAATATGTCTGTTAACTATACTTTGTTCATGTCAGTATATAATGAACTTCAGTCAAAGATTATCTTAACTTTCTGTTGTGGTTAAAAAAAACCAGCTGGGAATTAAACCCAAAATAAGCCACTTCACTTCCCCTCACCGCCCTCCAGTAAGAGAGGGCAAAGGCAGAGACTGTGAGTTAACAGTTTACTGAAAACAAACACAATGGAATAAGAAATGCACAGTAATAGCAACAACCAGGATACTTTCAAAGTGTGACAGGAATTCCATTGCCAGGTTTGCCATGGAGGAATGATGTAGGCTTGTTGAAAAAGAGTGCATTTCTACCCTTTGTCTTGTCATTTGTGTATTTTTTTGTGTATTTCTCTGTGTGTCATAAATAATACCTGTGTAATATATCTTAATATCGCTTTGTTTATAAAGTCACTTGGATAAAGAGATTGAAAGCAAAAGGGCACAGTTGGCAGCATCTCAGCAACATTTACATTCCATTGAAAATGAGATTAGGCAAAATGAAGATCATCTTTATGGTCATCGACGACACCAAAAAGAACTACAGGTAAAAATAAGAACAGTGTTAGTTTTTAGAAAGTCATCAGTCTTTCCCTATTTAATTTTGACTTCTGCAATCTATTTTGGCTGAGTGGTAGTTTTTAATGTTTATCCTTACTTTTGTTTTATCCTTACTTTGCTTTCCTATTTTTTACTTTCGTAATATACTCTCATAATTTAGGACAGAATGATAGGTCATCAGTCCTAACACGTGCTGTTGTTTCTGTTTGATATCTTTCTTCCCCTGTGTGCTAAATCTCACAAATTTCTATTGCTTGTTTTGACACTAATAGTGCACAGTACAGACACTTGTATCATATAATCCTTCTCTCTCCTTTATTTCTGTTGAGGCTTACCTCTTCATTCCCAGAATCTTTCTTGTTGTCATGCTCTTCATATACTCTTATCCCATTTTGGTATGCTGGGACATGTCACATCTTTAAGTTTTCTTAATTGTAATTTCTTTAAAACCATTTTAAAACTGTTAGCTTCCTTTTTGTGTTATTCCTAGGTAGGATATTCTTTCTTGTGGTACTCCTAGGTAGGATATTGGGTTCTGGAACAGGCTCCCCAGGGAAGGGGCCACAGCACCAAGCATGACAGCGTTCAAGAAACATTTTTACAATACTCTCAGGCACATGGTGTGACTCTTGGGGATGGTCCTGTGCAGAGCTAAAGATTGCACTCGATGATCCTTGTGGGTCCTTTCCACTCAGCATGTTCTGTTATTCTGTGATATATATTTGTGGTGGCCAATGATGCTCCAGGTAGGCAGTGTAAGCTAATACATGCTATATAAGGTTATATTCAGTAAATTACAAAAAAGAAGCAACAAAAAACCTGGCATGGGGACTGAAATGCTGAAGATAAATATTTGAAGAAAAAACAAAATGTATTTTATTCAATTGTCATGTTAAATCCAAATAAAATAATGATTTAAAGTGCACATGACTTTCAGAACAAGTTATATCTTATGAAAATGAATTCCACAGGTAGGCGTGAAGAGTTCCTTTTGTTAGTCACTAATGAAACTAAAAAATCAAGTATTTTCTGTGATAACTTAAATGAACAAATATGAACTTTTCTCTTTAGTTAAGCTAAAGGATGTGTTTGTTTTTTTTTTTTTTTCCAGATAAAAATAAGAACAGCAAATGCAGAAATAGTAGACCTTGAAAATATGGAAGAACACCAGTCAGTGGACATCTGTATCTTAGTAAGAAGAGATAATCAAATTATGTCTAATCAGCACATGAAATTATGTATTTTAATGTTGGCAGTGTTCTGAAATAAGCAAAGTTGGATGAATAGTCAAGAACGTAACACTTGTCGTAATTGTAAACATTTCTGTAAATGGAGTGATTTTTTTTTTTTTGGTGATTTTTTAAAATATTTTTTCCTTCTTTTTTTCTGTCCTTCTCTTTGATCTCGCACTTTCCATTCTCTCTTCTTCTTCCCCTTCTTCCTTTTCTTCTTCTACTTCTGCCTTTTTTTTCCTCATTCCAGACCTGCAGTGCTGTAAGACTCTGGTTAGGGAGAAGTGACACTGTAGGTTTGAAGGTCAGAAGTGGCATCATCAAAGCATAGGTAAAGGCTACCCTGGAGCATAATTAGTGAGTGCCACAGCACAGCTGCTCTGCCCTGAACCCACAGGTTCTTCCTTTGCTGTAGCTTCACCATGCACAAATTTCAAATTCATGTAGTGCCCTAGAGAAGTGCATGGTAGGATGATGGTTCCTTCAGAGTTCTTATTGTTATCAATGTGTTCTTAAAATGTGTGCATAGTAGTTTAAGAATAGAGATAAATGTTTGATGATCTGTTGTGATTTGTATATTGGTGGCTGTGAATTTGAGCTGTTACTCTGTAATATGCTGACGTATTAGATGGCCAAGATTTAAATTCTGAGAATTATGCTGCTAATAGTGATCCTGACTGCAGTTGTTTCAGATAAATTCCATGGCGTTTTCCCCACTGTTTCATCTGGGATCAACAAGAGTCTAAGTTGACCAGATTTTTTCTTTAATCACATGTGGTGTTGGCACGAACTCACACTTTTTTTCGGTAGTCTGTCTTTCAGTGTGAATGCACACATGTGCATGTAAGTAAACATTTCAAAATTTATTCAAAAAGTAAGGGATCAGTACAGATTCTGAAAGCTCTTATAGAGTTTCTCTTTTCCAGATAATCTAATTCTGTTTGTTTGTTTGTTTGTTTTTTTAAGTATATTATTTGATGAGATGGAAGATAGTTTATTACCTTTTTGTAGGAGGATATCTTCCTCTTAAAAGATCACTGAACACTTGCTTGTTCAACATCAATGTTTTTACAGTTGATTTCTGTTAATGGTCCTATGCAGTTGTTAGACTTATGTATTTGCTTCTCCTCATTCCTTTCTTGGATTTTTGTTTCTGTGTTTTCTGTGCTTTCTGACCACTACTAAGGATTAATTGCTCCTCACTTGGTATTGATCTTCATTGCTTCCTTGATTTCACAATTGTTTGATTGTGAAGAAGACTCTTAGCAATACAAGGTTTCATTTACTTTTTTTTTTCCCAGGTTTTGCAATATTTGTCTTTGTGAATCAGAAAGTATGTATGATGATAATTCCTTAGGAATAGTCTAGTTTTCTAGGGAACAACAACAATCCGCTTACTCTTCCTCTGTTCCTTTGTATACTGTGTGTTTGTATTCTGTCATGGATCCTGAAGGAAGTTTCCTTGTTCTTTTCATTTTTTTCATCACAATTCCCAAATAAAGTCCTTTTTAGTTTTCGATCAGATAATTATGAAATTCCGTTTTTATTTTACAGTTTGATTTAGTGGTCTCCTACAAGATGTGTCAGTCTCTTCTTTTAGGCTGTCATGACAATTACACTGAGTGGCTCATGTTCATATTAGAATCTTAGAGTACTTCATGTAATATTCTACCCTGATAGTAAAATTAAAAGCTGGTACAGTAATTTACAAATGTATGTTTCCTTTTATCGTTCCTCACTTTATTATATTTTGACAGCAAAATGAAGCTGAAGAAAATAAGGCTAAGATGGAATCTGTAAAGGAAGACATGCAACTACAAAGCAGAAAAATGGAAAACCAGAAAAATATTCTCCTGGAAGCTGAAAAAAGATTAAAAGAAGTGAAAGAAAAAATTCAAGAAGTAGAAGAAGTTGCTGGCCCAATTAGGGTATTAGTAATTTCATATTATGCTTTTTAATTTGTTCCATTTGTGTGGCAAAGAGAATGAGGTTATAGAAGAGGTGAAGCAGAAGAAAAGATTGTGCTGCTTCCTGATACACTTAAGGTCTGCCTATAAAATGGAAAAGCATTGCATTTAAAGCACGTTGAGAAATAATCTTGGCAGTAGTTTGAAGGTGGTGTTGGTTGTTAAGTGTAGTTGCTGTAGTGGTTTATGTTCAAAGAGAGTTCATTTCCAGGTATCTTTAGTCATGGAGTGAAAAGGAAAAATAGTTTCCTCGACTTTCCTTTTTTTTTGTGCATCATATTTGTTGTTTTGGCTTGTTTCTTTCTAGGAAGCCTTGGCTAAGAATGTTCATAACTGTTTATTTCTCAAAACAGCATTTGAAGTTCTGTATGAACTGGGTGTTATTTTATGAGGTTGCATAATACCAGAAGGTACCAATACATAGTTTTAATTATTCAAGACTACAGAAGGCACATGTAAAAGGCGGAGAAATACCAAGACTTGAGATGAATAGCAGAGTGTTGGCATGCAAAATGTGGTATTGGCAAGGAGTAATGGTTTGAAAATGAAAAACAGAAATAAGAATCCATCACGTTTACAGTATTGTAAATTTGTAGAAGGATGGAATAAGGAAAAACTTAGAAGGATCATTATCCTAATCTCTTACATTTCTCACTGAAAATGTATATTACTATGTAGTCAACCCAAATTAAAAAAGCAAGGGCAAACAAAAAGAGGAAGGAAACAGGTCAGGAAAGCAATTAATAAATATGTTCTAATGTATCTAGTATGGAATTTCTGTAGATATGAGCTATTTTAAAAGAAAATGTGTAAGGAAAGAGAATAGATCTATTCAGAATATGAGAACATTATTATTGCTTGTTATTTGGAAGACTGAACACAAAAGAAGGCAGCTCCAAAATTCTTGAAAGGGAGAAGATGTGTTAAGTGTTCTGCAATTGTTTAATAACCTGTTGACATGTAGCAAGTTGTGGCTTCAAGGTAGGATTTGAAAAAAGTAAGAGCATCTGTTACTGTTGTTGGTGTTTGGTTTTCTTGTTTGTTGTTTTGGGGTTTCTGGGGTGGTTTTTATTGGAGTTTTTTGTTTGGTTTGTTTTTTTTTTCTTTTTGGTTGTTAAGCCATCTAGTGGGCAGGGATGAGGAAGAAAATTATGTGTTAATTTGTCATTCTTTGTACCTCTTTGCTTCTCTGGAAGATATATCACTTCAACAGTATCAACACTTATATAGTATAGATGTTGCTGGTGAAGGGTCTGGAGCACAGTTCCTGTGAGGAGCAGCTGAGGGAACGGGGATTGTTTAGCCTGGAGAAAATGAGGCTTGAGTGGACTTTACCACTCTACAGCTACCTAAAAGGAGGTTGTAGCGAAGTGAGTCTCGGTCCCTTCTCCCAGATAACAAGTGACAGTATGAGAGAAAATGGCCTCAAATTGCACAAGGGGAGGTTTAGATTAGATAATAGGAAAAAATTTTTCATGCCCAGGCAGGTGGTGGAGTCACCCCCTGGAAGCATTCAAAAATGTATGGAAATTGCACTGGAGGACATGGTTTAGTGGTATTTATGCTGGTGGTGCTGAGTTGATGGTTTGACTTCATGATTTTAAAGGTCTTTTTCAAGCTTAACTATTCTATAATTCTATGTCTTTATGTTACAGGTATAGCAGGACTGAATTTTCACTCAGAAATGCAGTTGTGGTTGATGTCATTACACAGTCATCAGAAGTTCTGGGTAGAATGTAGTGTAAAAAATAAATCTATATTTTTGATTTTTAGGAGAAAGGTTGACTTTTTTTCAAAGAATAAAACATCACCTCCGGATATGATTCCTAAAATCATTGCATGTATTTAATATGTCCTTGTCAGGATTGAGTATAGACTCTCTGATAAGTTGCTGTTAAAGCTCCTGGACTCTAGAAGGAGTAGTCTTATTGAAAGCAAAATCAATTAGACTGTGGTAAAAACAACCTGTGACAAGTCCATAAACATGTGGAGAGATTCTCAGGAATCTACCCCAAACAGCTCTCATCATGATTTATTCCAAACAGGATGAATTAAACCAGGCTGAGTCAGAAATGGAAAGCAGTAAACGCCACTTGCAGCACTATGCAGACAGACAGAAAGAACACTTGGCTTGCATCAAAAAGCACAAAGAATTATTGGCTGCCAAAGAAAAGGAACTAGAGGTACATGTGGATTTTTTTTTCTTTATTAAAGTCAGATGGTCATTATCCTTCTAAAATTTAATAATAACTTATTCCATTTGTATGACATACAGACCATGTTAATACTCAGCTACACTGAGTATTCTCTCAGCTGTGTCCTAACCTGACTGTCAAAATCAAGTAAAAGTAGTTTTGTGTAAGTGAACTGAAGCCTCTTTCTTTCTGGCCAGACAGCATTTCTGTCTTGACTGATAAGCTAGGGGTTATCCATCTAGGAATATTTCTTGTCTTTTGCAATGAAAAGATAAAAACGACTTAACCTTAAAATCTGCATTTTAAGTTAAATTGAATAGTGCTGTTCTGGCTTCTTGAATGCTCGATTTTTCATTGTACAGACCCCATATCTGATCTTTTGAAGGCTTAGCTAAGCTTTATTAACTAACTCTGAAATCACATCCACAAAGACTTTTGGAAGACTGTCCTATTAAATTATGGTGATTTTTGTTCCTTATTTGTCTGTATTAGCTAAATAACTGTGATAATAATAAAAATCTCAGATGGATTCAGTTCTTGACACGGAAATTACTACCTATTTATAAATATTGTTAGTAAAATTGTTAACTGGGTTTGCTGTAATGAATACCAAAGGAACAGCACAAAAACGTTGTCTTGCCTGGAGACCTTGTTTTTCCATAGCCTAAAATATTTGTTGTGAGAACTAAACAGATTTTTAAAAACTTTATTAACTGAGCTTCAAACATTACTTTAGGAAAAAACAGCCCAAGCCAGGCAGATCTACCCAGAGCGCATCCAGGTCAGCAGGACTGTTAAGAGTCTTGATGCAGAAATGAATCGCCTGAGAGAGAAGATAAAATCAGAAACTAGTCTCCATGGAAACAGAGAAGAAATAATACAGTAAGTCATCTTAACTGTGTAAAGTTGTTCAGGTAAGATGGAAAAGAGAGAGGAAGAAAGAGCTTTCTTAGTGACTCACTGTGCATTTATGTGTGTTTTTAGCACTTAAGCTGTGTATGAAGGTATGGAAATGTGTTGTACTGATTCGCAGTCAACCAGTACTGAATAGATTTAGGAGTCCTGAAAAACCCTTCAGTGATTTTAAGCAGCATCCGTACTAGATATATGACATTACCAGTAATTAGATACCCTATTAATATTCAGAAGTATCCCAGTTATGACTACACAAACATAACTCACCGTTGTTCTGTGATGCATTGAGTGTTAAGCGTACTTCTAATTTGAGTAACTGATGCACAAGTTAGAAAGTTACTTGAGGTTTTGAATACAGTGTCTTGCAAGGGAGCACTCCCCTCAGATATTCTTTAGCATGGGGAACCCAATCATTCATTCTCCTTGGCGCAAGAGTTTATTGTCAAAAGAATTAAAAATAGAAATAAGATCTAATTTTGGGCCATTTTTGGTTTGCTAAGTGTCTTATTTGACTCATCAAATGCTTTTAGATTTAACATAAATCCTCGCAAAAGAGTTTTCATTTGAATATTTTGATTATCAAAATGATTTTCTGCATTTACAGCAATAGCTTACTTTTAACGTAATGCATGTTCACTAAACTTTCTGTTAATCAAAACAGGCAATTTCATGACGCAAAGGAAAGATATGAGGATGCAAGCAGTAAAGTAAAGAATTTAAAGAAATTTTTTAGGGTCCTGGAAAGAATCATGGCAGAGAGAGTCAAAGCTTATCAGCAATTCCTACGGTGAGTTAATTTTACTGTAATTTCAGGTTTCAGATGAACCGACATCTAAGGATGTGCCCGTATTCCAGAGTGAAAATTAAAGAGCAGACCAGTGAGAACACACTGTCTTTAGGGCAGTGTTCACAACAATCTTTTTAACCTTAGCTTGCTCCCTGTTTCAGTCCTGTCATTGCTGACAGTTTAGAGGAAGACTGGACTGACATCTGGAAAAGTATTTTGTTAATGGAAGCTGTATTTTGCTTCCCACCAAAGACCTCAGCTGGGCTGACTTCATCCATGGCGGTTCTGTCTGAGTGCTGGTTTTGGTCAATAGAATGTCAACAACGTACAAGAATTGAAATAATCTGGACTATCACTCATTTTTATTGATCATAATTACTGGTGCTGAGCTCACATAATTTCATTGTGGGCCAAGCACTTTTCCTCTGCCATGTGCTGAAAAAATTTGAAGATATTCAGGTTCTATAATTTGACAGCTTCTTCTCCATACTGGGAGTGCACCCCTTCTTTCTTGCTTCAGTCCCTTAGTATCCTCTACGTATCCATGAAGATTTTTGTGTTGTCCTCCCTTTAAAAGGATTGATGGTCTGTTTTCCAATGCAGCACTTCATCATTTATCATTCCCTTCAGCAGAAATTGAGGGATATCTTTGTTGGCTCTGCTTTTTTGTACTTTTTGATCTGGATTTGGGGGAGGTGCCAGTACGATCCTGACAAATAGTGATGATGAGGAGAATCTCCCAACCTTTGCAGATAGAAGTACAGAGATAGTAGTGGACAAGATTTACCTGCAGAATCTGATGCTTGCCTTACGGTGCCCACATATGTCAAATTGAATCTTGGTCCTAGTGCCCAAGTTTGAGTATGCAACACACCTTACAATGTGGTAAAGAACCATAGTTCTTTCTTGGAGGAACTGTCTATAGATGTGTTGTCTATTGGGCTAGAATGTGCTAGAATTGAGGGGGTGGGCAGAGAAATTAATACACGATGCTCTTTAATTCCCAGAATCTACCAAAGGCCATGTAAATTCCTTACTGTGCAGTCCTAGTACTGGATAGGGAAGCAGTGGGAGTTCTGGAAAAATGTTGTAAAAAGCTTCTGGTCTATTAAAACAAATTCTAGAAAATACAAAACTGTCCATGTGGATTTCTTACCTCCTTTCTTTGTGTCAGTGATTCTCTGCAGATGTTCAGAATTGAATGTCACCCGCTTGAGAGCATAATTGATTTGGGGAAAATGTTATTAATGGAGCAGGCCTTAATATTTAACGATGTGGGATTGTTGATAAACATCTGTTGTTGCTTTTTCATGTATTTTAAAACTTACTGACTTAATGTTTGTTTGCTTGTTTAAGTATCCTTTCTATACGATGCAAAAGCAGCTTTGAGGGATTATTGCATGTTCGAGCTTGCTCTGGAAAAATACTTTTTGATCACAAGAACGAGACACTTTCCATAACAGTAAGTTATTTTATATGACTTCAATTATCATAATATGTAATTACTTATTAATTTTTTTAGTCTCAGGTGCTAGGACATGTATTGCAAAGGATAGAATAAATTGTTCTTCCATATCCAAATTGTGATACACTAATCTGTAGGATGCTGTTGAAAACAAGCAAGAACAAAAAACATTGCCATGTTAAATGGACGGGTTGCTAGATTACAGGAAATAAATTTAGATTCCTGTCTTGTGCCAAGGAGAAGAATTCACTAGTGAGTCATCCTAGTCAGTCTTTCAAAATAACTCATTCCTGTTTCATTGATAGGGAGTTCACCATTATTTATGTGATTGTGTAATGGCTCTAGTTGTTATTTAAACAAATTTTACTGTCTTAAAGCTTCAATATTGTGGGGTTTTTTGTGTATTTTTTAACATAACATCCCAAAAAGTCATGGGTTTATATACTTTTGTTTCTGTGGGAGACTTAATTAAGGTGAAAATTGTGCAGTGACAACATAAATACGCGTTTTTGCAGTCCTAATTAAACAGGTGAAGCACATGTATTTGAAGAATCAAACTCAGTCCATAAAATATCAAGTCATTACCTGACTTTATCAGAATATATATTTTTTAATAGCTAATGTCTCATGTTTCTCAGACAAGAGATCTATATTTAGTCAAGGAAGGTAAATTGCAAAAGAAAACAATTCCCCCACCCCAAAAAAGATTCCACTCCAAAATAATTCTTCTTTTCCTGCTGAACTTGTTAAAAGTAAGGCAGTTAACAGGACAAGAAAATGCCTAAGTTTTATATTACAGGAGTGCCACAAGATGTCATCGTAATCAATGGAACCAAAGGGCTGTTCTCAATGTTTCATGCATTCCAGTAAAGAAACTCTTCCGCCTTTAAAATTCCACTGTAAATCAATTACCTGCTTTTCTGTTGTAGCTGGTAACCACTGGATTTTAACTGCAATGTAACTGCACTAGTTAACATTTATGAACCATTGTTTAACAGCTAACAAAAATAGAGAATTGAATAAGAAATCACTGGCAGAGTCATTCAGTCTGTATTTTACTGTGATAGAGGAAGTTGCAGTGATCCTAGAAATGTGTTATGAAATGGTTAGGAGCCATCCATTCCAGAATGGCAGTTGAGTGACTTGCAGAAAATTGTTCTCAGGTGATATGCTCATGTATAATGTGTTTGCTGTTAAAATTATGATTCTGTTAGTAAGTCTCTGTCTCATGTCTAAAAATCGCTCCAATATTTTTATTTCAAGGTTCGGTTTGGAGATGAAGAGAAAGCTTCCCTTACTGATTTGAAATCCTTATCAGGAGGTGAACGTACCTTCTCTACAGTTTGTTACATTCTGTCTCTGTGGAACATCACTGACTCTCCTTTCAGATGCTTGGATGAATTTGATGTCTACATGGTATACTATAAACTTAAACTACATCTCCTGCTCTCATTTATATAAATTAGTGAAATAGTTGTACTGTTACCGCGAGACAGAGAGTTGACACTGCATTATTTAATTTTGCCTTCTGTGTCAATCACCTGTTTACTGGGAATTACAGAACTAGAGGAGAAAAAAGATAATATACTTCATATATAAAGAATTTTGGAGGGAGATTCCTAGTTTCATGTGGAACGGTTACAGCAGCACAGCTTTGTTAGTCCCTGCTAAAAACAGCCTCCTGTTGTGCATCTCTTTCAGTAAAGCCTGATGCATAAGGCTGTGTTCAAAACATGATAAAAACAGTAATAATCCTAATAAAAACAAGCTCCAGAATGTCTTGGGTTTCATGCAGCCCTTAAATCCTTTCAGGTATTTTTGAGGCAGAATTTTAGCGGAAACATTATTCTACTAAAATACATTTCATCTCAGCATAGCAATAAAGTAAGAAGTATTACATGTATGTCAAAACTGATAGGAAAACAGTGAGTAGGAGTGTGTGATTATTCTGGTAGAAACTTTCCATTGTCCATGGATACTAAAAAGTACAGTTTAAGAATTTCCCAGACTTTAATTTGTAGATTTTAGAATTTAACCCTAATGTTTCTCCAGCTTAGATATTATCAGACTTTTCTTTAGCAAACCTTTACTGTATAGGAATTAATTCTGGTAGGTTTTCCTAGAATCATGTTTTCTAATGTATTTACTATGGTCAGTATTACTACCTGATAAATCTTTTGTCTTTAGGACATGCTTAACAGAAGAATTGCCATCGATATGATTCTGGAGAGGGCTGATTTTCAGCAGTATCGACAGTTCATTTTGTTCACCCCCCAAAGCATAAGGTAATACTGTTGTGTTTAATTTCGTGGTACAAGAATTACAAGGAACTACTAAGTTCTCTTGCAAGAAGTGTAACTTGAAAAAATTAAATATGAAGAGAAATAAATTTTGCTGTTTGTAGCAGTAGAACATCAACAATTAGGCAGTTCAATGCTGATAGTTCTCAGAATTTAATAGGTTTTTTTACTCTTCCTTACATAATGTCTGTTAATATGATAATTCAGTGGGACTTGAATCAGTTTATCTGAAGTAAAACAACTATTGGAAATGTTTTATTTTGTCAAGCAGGCTCCTCCTCATTTAGTGCCCTGTATGTCCCTCTCCCCTCCCAAAATTAACAGAAGACATCGCGTTTTTTCTGTTAATACTACAGCATTTTCAAGGTGTTTGTCACTTGAGTTTATTTCATTTTATGGGTTTTAATATTGCTGATCTAGAGACTCATGACTTACACCATGTTTTGAATTTTTGATCTAGTAGCTCAAAATTGCTCCAAAACCTCCATATAAGTCCCTGGTAAAGCCATGCCCAGCTTAAGGGAACAGCCACTGTCTGACCCTGTGCAGCCAACTCCTCTCTATTAACCCAATGTAACCAGTGAAGTCTGAAGAAGATAATTAAGCAGTCTTCAAAATGAAGTTGATTTATTTTAATTTTCTTCCCTCACTAGAGTATATAAAAAGTAGGATAGTAGTATTCTGGTTTTATTTCAGTGGAAATGCTTTTGTGGAGGTTTTCTGAAACTAGTAAACATACTGGAATTTTTTGTATGGTTACTTTTTAAAAGTAATAAATCAAGCGCAGTTTGCTTTTGTTACATTGTTACATGTTGCATCTTCAGCAAATATTAAATTTAACAGAAGTCTGGAGGCACCTTCAAGAAAAATAATTTAGGATTATCAGTCTTAGTATAATGTGAGTGATTGCACATGTATATTGTGCCTGTAAGGATCTGTAAGGCAAATACGAACTGCATTCCATCACTGTTTCATTTGGAGGTTTTTTGTAAAAGTACCTTTTCTCTGATTAAGGTAGTCTGATTGTTAGAAATCACATGACGGAAATCAGTCCTTGTCTTTACCTCAAGCTTTTACTGAAGTCTGGGTCCAGGATCAGTTCAGTAAAGCCTGAATTTCACCCCATGTTGCTGTTTTTTAAGACGTCAAATTAAAAAGATGGAGTTATGTAAAGGAAAATATGTAATGGAAAGAATCAAATGGAAATACTAAAATTTGTGGAGAAGAAACACTGTTTAAATGATGCATACTTTATTTTTAGTTCTCTGCCTACGATTCCCCATATTCGAATCCTCTGCTTGCAAGAACCTGAAAGAGGCCAAAGACAATTGAATTTCCAGAATGAGACAGGCCGTGATGAAGATCAATAAGTATCTCTTTGTGAATATGGCATACTATTGAGCACAAATGTGGAATAGTATTTATAAAGTTATTGCTTCCTGATGCTGAAGAAGGGGATGTTTTGTTACATACTCTCAGGAAGATGTTTCTGTATTGTTATTATTATTTTTTAAAGAATTCACTTTGTGTGTTCACAGACCAAGAATAGACAGAGTTTGTATAATGAGAAAATTTTGAATGTTCAGTTGATATTTTTAGCTACCAACTAATAGAATTTTTTTATCAGTTGTTCTGTTTTTTCTTCTGGAAAAGTTGAAATATATTTTATATAACTATTGAGTAATATTTTAATAAACAGTTTGAACTGATACTTGTGGTAATGTTTTAATGTCTCTACACATTTAGCATTAGCATTAAGTTAAAAATATTGGTTTCTTCCTAGCTCTGCTCTATTTCTTAAACATTTGCTAATTAATACATGCAGTAAAATGTGTTTCATTAATTTTCCATTGGAACCACAGCAGCTAAACATGAGAAACTATTAGTACTTATGGTTTCATAAGTAGAGAAGCGAAAAATTTATTTGCAGTATATTCTCTGAGAGTGGAAACAAGTGCTTTTATTTCTTTTCCTAAAGAGTTTGAGTTTCTTTGGACATGAGCTTATAACACCTAGCGAGCTGTGGCTTTATAAACTTAGATTCTTAATTCCAGTAAACGGAGTTCTTGCACACTCAGAGTTTCCAGGTGGAGAATAAGTCTTTAGATGTTGTATTAGAACAAACTGTGGAGACAAGGCCTTCCAATATAGAGGAATAAAGTAGAATAAGAATTTTGGAAAATAATACAGTAATTTTACTACAGCATTGTAGACCTGTATTTCCTACAGTCCCACACTTCCCTGGGACTATGCTAGAGCACTTAAACTTGATTTATTTAAATATTGCAAGCATTTATTGGGTATAAGAGAGAGAAAGAAGAACAAGATTTTTCAAATTCCCCCAAATTAACTTTTTTTTCTCTCCTGTTCTTTTTTTGTCCTGGAACTTGAAATTATTGGCAGCTCTTCAAAATACCCCACTTTTTAGAGTTCAGCTGTTAGACATACTTTTTTCTTCTGGTTTTTTTGTTGTTGTTTTTTTTGTTTGTTTGTTTGTTTGGTTTTGTTTTGTTTTGTTTTGTTTTTTTTATGTTATGGGGATATAAAAGCCATTGAGACTTCTCAGGGAACAATATTCTGCAGTTTTTGCAGTTTTTTACTGAATAGCAGTTTCTCAGTAAAACCTTATCGTAGTGTAAGTTTTAACTCAACTTTGTAGCTTGTTTTCAGTTGCTGCATAGCATTGTGTGTTCTTTAATATTATTCAGTTTTTAGACAAGCAGGTATTAAATTTGTAGGTTTCTTTAAAATATGGAAGCTGGGTAAGACTTGAAGGAAATACACTTCATAGAATCATAGAATCATAAAATATGCTGAATTGGAAAGGGACCCATCAGGATCATGGAATCCAACTCCTGGCCCTGCACAGGACAGCCCTGAGAATCACACAATGTGCCTGAGAGTGTTGTCCAAATGCTTCTTGAACTCAGACAGGCTTGGAGCTGTGACCACTTCCCTGGGGAGCCTGTTCCAGTGCTCAGCCACCCTCTGGGTGAAGAACCTAAACCTCTCCTGGCTCAGCTTCGTGTTGTTTCCTTGAGTCCTGTTGCTGGTCACAAGAGAGAAGAGATCAGTGCCTGCCCCTCCTCTTCCCCTCACTAGGAAGTTGTAACTGCAGTGAGGTCTGCCCTCCATCTCCTCCAGGCTGAACAGACCAAGTGACCTCAGCTGCTCCTCATACAGCTTCCCCTCCAGAGCCTTTGGATGCTCTCTAAGAGCTTAATGTCTTTTTTTACATTGTGGCACCCAAACTTGCACTTAATACTCAAGGTGAGGCTGCCGCAGAGCAGAGTGGGACAATCCCCTCCCTTGACCGGCTGGGGATGCTTTGCCTGATGCCCCTCAGGACACGGTTGGCCCTCCTGACTGCCAGGGCACTGCTGACTCAGCTGGCCACTGACCAGGACCCCCAGGTCCCTTCCCATGGCACTGGTTTCCAGCATCTCATTCCCCAGTCTGTACACACAGCCAGGGTTGCACTGTTTCAGTGCAGGTTCTGGCACTTGCCATTTTTGAACTTCATATGGTTGGTGACTGCCCAGTCCTCTAATTTCTCTTCAGGGCCTCTGTGTCTGCAAAGGAGTCGACAACACCTCCCAGTTTAGTGTCATCGGCAAATCTAATTAGTGTTCCTTTGAGTCCTGTGCCCAAGTCATTAATGAAGATGTTGAAGAGAACTGGGCGGAGGATGGAGGCCTGTGGAACCCCACTAGTGACAGGTCACCAGTCTGATGTAACCCCATTCACTGTAACTCTTTGTGTCCGACCCATGAGCCAGTTGTTAACCTGTTGGGTCACACAGTTATTCAGCTGTGTGCTGGACATTTTGTGAGAGACTGTATCAAAAGCTTTAGTGAAATCCAAGATGATGACATCAGCTGGCCTCCCTTGATCAACTACATGGGTTACGTTTTCGTAAAGGGAAATCAGGTGTGACAAGCAGGGCTTTCCTCTGGTGAAGCTGTGCTGGCTGTGGCCCATTACTGCATTGTCTTTCAGGTGTTTCTCAATACCTCCCTGAGTAATCTTTTCCATGATTTTACCAGGCACTGAAGTGAGACTGACAGGCCTGTAGTTTCTGGGATCCTGCTTCTTGCCCATCTTGAAAATTGGGACAATGTTTGCCCGCTTCCTGTCAGCTAAGACCTCTCCGGATTCCCAGGACCCCTCAAAAATAATTATCAAGAGAGGTTTTGTGATGGCATCCTCTTTGCGGATTCTCAGATGAATCCCATCAGGCCCCATAGATTTGTAGGAATCCAGCTGGAGCAGCAGATCCTGGACAATTTCAGGGTCATCTGGGAGCTGATCATTCTCACAGTCATTGTCCTCCAGCCCAGCCAGTGAGACCCCCTTGGTCCATCATCCATGTTGAAGACAGAGGCAAAGAAAACCTCAAACACCTCTGCCTTGTCTCTGTCTTTGTTTGCGTTGATCGTCCTCATCCTGTAACAGGCTGATGCTATTTCTACACTGACTTTTGCCATTAGTATCTTTTATTGTCCCCCACATTTCTGGCAGCTTCAACTCCAGTTCAGCTTTGGCTGCACAAATTTTCTCCCTACAGTGTCAAGCAGAATCTCTGTATTCTTCCTATGTCACTTGACCTTGCTTCCACTGGGTATATACCTTCCTACTTTGCCTTATTTCCAAGGGAAGATCCCTGCTCAGCCAAACCAGCCTTCTGCCTCACCTGCTTGACTTCCAGCATTTGAGAATTGCCTCCTCACAGGGGACTTTACTTACTAATTCCATGAGCAGCCTGAAGTCTGCTCTCATTGTGGCCAGAGTTGAGGTTTTGCTGGCACTTTTCCTTCCATTAACAGAGATTTTTAACTGGTTCACTTCACGGTCAGTGTGGCCAAGAGGCCTCCAGTCTCCACTTTGCTCATGAGATCCGCTCTGTTGACAAGCAGCAGATCGAGGAGGGCCTTTTTCCAAGTTGGCTTCTTAGGACCTGTTCCATAAAGTTGTCATCCAGGTTTTTTAGGAATCTTTTGGCCCAGGTTGTACCAGCAGTGTGATGTTCCCAGTTGATTTCTGGCAAGTTGAAGAAGTCCATAAGGACAAGGGCAGTTGACTTGGAATTGTTCCTTAGTTCCTCAAAGAATAATTCATTGGCATCACTGTCCTGGTTGGGAGGTCTTTAGAGACTCCCACGATGAAACCTTTTTTTATTTCAAATATTATTTGTTTGCCCCTTGCTTCTTACCCAGAGACTCTCAACTGTGCCATTGCCAACTGTGAGCTCCACACAGTCCAACTCTTCCATTACATACAGTGCTACCCCTCTGCCTCCTCTGTCCTGCCTATCCCTCCAAAGGAGGCCGTAACCATCCAACAGGGCACTCCAGTCACAGGTCTCATCCCATCAGGTTTCACTTACGCCAGTGACGTCAAATCTCTGGGACCGGGCCAAAGCTCCGAGATCTTTTTGTTTATTCCTCATGCTGTGTGCTTTGGTGTAGAAACATTTCAGGAGTGGTACATTGTAGCCAACACCTCTTGTGGCAGATTGAGGGATTCCATTAGTGCTCATTTCCTCAAATTTTGGCACTGGCTCATCACTGGCAAGCCTGGTATTTTCCCTTTCCTCCTTCCAAACTAATTTAAAGCCTTGTCAACAAGCCCTGTGAGCTCTTTTCCCCCTCTGAGATAGATGCATCCTGTCAGGTGTCAGTAGACCAGGTGGCTGAGTAAACCAGGAGGGATTGTTCATGATTAAGATAAAGAAGCATTTGAGCATGTTACCCTAACAGGCTGTACAATTTCCATCCTTGGAGGCTTTTGGAGTCTGAATAGACTCTTGCACCTGCTTCAGGCAGGGAGTTAGGCAAAAGATCTCTGAAGGTCCCTATTAAATCAAACAATTCCTTAACTCCATAATTAAAGGTACTTGCACCTTTAGGATTATGTGAAAACACTGTGTGGGGCAGGGGGGAGTACCAGACAAAGTGCATACTTACCAAAACTTGTCTGGAACCAGCAGGTCGGCAGGTGAATCTAATCCTGTGATCCTGCCTGGAGTAGTGTGTCCATGTCTGGGATTCCCACCACAGGAAAGACCAGTTGGAATGAGAGCTGGTGAAGAACCACTAAGTTAATCATAAGGCTGGAGCATTTCTCCTATGAAGACAGGCTGAGAGCTGGGGTTGTTCAGCCTGGGGAAGACTCCAGAGAGACCTTATAGCACCTTCCAGCACCTAAAGGGGCTACCAGAGAACTGGAGAGGGACATTTTACAAGGGCATGTAGTGACAGGACAATGGGCAGTGGCTTTAAGCTGAAATAGAGTAGATTTAGATTAGATATTAGGAAGAAATTCTTTACTGGGAGGGTGGTGAGGCACAGGAACAGGTTGCCCAGAGAAGTTGTGGATGCCCCATCCCTGGAAGTGTTCAAGGCCAGACTGAAACTGAGCAGCTTGGTTTAGTGGAATGTGCCCCTGCCCATGGCAGGGGGTAGAGCTGGATTATCTTTAAGGTCCCTTCAAACCCAAACCAGTCTATAAATCTATGACATAATCATGAGTATATGGCAAGTATGCATGATCATGTGTTTACTTTGACTCAATTTTTTGATGGAACCAGAGTGTGTTTCAGTCCCTTTTAAAGTATGAGGTGATAGAATGGCATAGCATTATTTCCTCCTGATTTTATTCAGCATCCCCTAAAAAAAAAAAATAAAAATGCAAGAGTGCAGAAGCAGGAAAGAGTAAAGCATTTATCTTCATTAGTACTTCCATAATGAGTTGTGTGGAAAAGAGAGCTTAAGGAAAGTTAGTGCATTCCCACTGAGCTTACACTTCAGCTTTCTCCCAAGTTCTTTATAGACTTACTTGAAATGTTAGAGCAGTTGGCAACAATTCTGGTCTTTGGTTCATATCAGTATATTGTACTTATTCTAATCTACCACTGTACTTGATGTACTTGATGTACCTGACTGTATAATTATTAAAGGCAATTGTTTTCATGGTAGAGGATTAGTTTTGAATAAAAAACTTATTGAAGCACTAGCATGGATGCTCTTATTTTGGTAGCAATCCTACTAACTTCTCAAAACTATCATATTCTTGGTACTTTAAATACAGAGTTTACTTTTTTGGGTACATAGAGAGATGTTAAATTGTTGAGTTTGACTACATTTTTTGAGGTGTTGACCATTTTGGATGGCAATGCATTGCTTAATGCTGCACTAAAGTAAATGGATCCTGTCCAGCTACATAAGTTCAAGATGCAGAGAAATGTAGAATAAGGTTCTGCTTCTCTAATAATTATATGTAAACCAGAGGCATAAATGCCAAGAAGTAGTCAGTGTGGGCACATCATTCTCAGAAGTATGTAATTTTCAGAATGTGTCTTTTATTTTTAAGTTATAGCCAAATATATGAAGTATACTATTCTCTAGTTAGCTAAGACTATTATCTGTGTAGTCTAAGTGAAATTCTGGTATTAGAAAATGTAGTTGAAACTTCTACCATTTGCTGTTTGTTTGGAATATGAAGAAACTGAAATATGAAAGAATGGCTGTGGTTGTGGCAGCAATTGATTCTGTACTCCCCCCAACAACGTTTCTTAGAGAGCTGTGTAAAACTACTTTTTGTTGCTTGTTTTCTTTTCCCTTTAATTTTAAGATGAGATTCACTTTTTACATTTGAAAATACAGAGAATGATTTGGTTTGTGTCATGTTTTATTTTTTGATTTTTATCTATTAAGAGTAACGTCTCATTTCTTCATAAGGTAAGGAAGAAATAGCAAACATGCAATTGTAAGATTTTCAGATTGTTGATTTTTTTTGTTTTAATCCAACAAGCAACCAACTGTTTAGAGCACCAGGGAAATGGGGCATAGGAAAGTTTTTAACTGCAGTTGCTGCAGTCTGATAGTTCTCATTTCTTTCCCAGGGCTGTGCAGAACTTGCACTTGTCACAGGATAGAGGGAAACTTGATTTGTGCACATAGAAGTGAGGAAGAAGATGGTTCTCCTCACTGTCCCTCCTTTATCATCATACTTTGCGGTTCATTTATCAGTAATGATTTTTAACATGTCTTTTTATATTAAACCCACAGTAGTTAGGATCATACAGTAAGAGGAAAGACTCTTACTTCAGGAAGGAAAAACATTAAAAAACCAGATTTAGGCCAAGCAAATAAACTGTATTTGACTTGCAGCTAATTAAAAAAGCTACATCAGCACAAGTCTAGTAGGTGTGCTGTTAGATCTTAGCAGTAGCATCTTAGAGCACCAACAGCTGCTCTGTTGGTAAATACAAGAACTACAACGTTTGGTTTCACATAATATGACTCTTCTAGTGAGTGAGTGCAAAGTATTTTTCTTCATGCTTTCATAATGAAATATATATTTCCCAGTGTAAACTGACAGATAATTAAAGAGATTGAACTTTTTTTTTTTTTATTACCATGCTGAAGACATGAAATAAGAATTAGGGGAAAAGATCAAATGTTATAAATTTATTTTGGGACATATATATTGCAACCTCTGTGGAAGCTTTTGAAAATTCTGGCAAAGATCAATACACTTCCAATAAAACCTTTAAACTTGCAATAAAACAATATTTTAAACATTATATATATATTTTTATATATTCTTAATTAAAGGGATAATTTTAGCAGGATTTTCTTTTTTTTTTCTTTTTTTTTTTTTTGTTTTTAAATATACTGCATTCCTCTGACATAGCTCTTTCCAGATTGAAGGGATGCAAATGAGGTAAGAATTAAGGCAAACCTAAAAGGCATGCAAATGAAGTACATTTATATCCACTGACAATACAAGCACGTGTGGATCAGACTCGGGAGCTGAAGAACTCTTTCCCTCTGTCTGTCCAGTACTACTTTACAGCAGAATGGTGACATGATTTATAATAAACAGTTAACATTACCATGGGAATTCAGTGTCACTAACATTACTCAGTCTAGGAGACACAGAGCTAGCATCAGTAAAACATGAACAATAAATAATATAATTCACTGCAGCACAGGCCTGCTGCACAGGCTTCAGAGGAAGAGGGTTGTTATGAAATGACATTGCACACGTCACGTTGTGGCAGTTTATTTTTATAATATATACTTTTAAAATTCTTTAGCAAATGACATTCTCATGCACACAAGTGTTTCAAACACAAGAAGCAAGTCCATTTATAGGTAGTCCAAGCAAATTTTTGTGTGTGTGGAAATAGCTGCAAACTGAATGGAACATTAAACTTCTGTGCAGTCTATGACGCGTTGTACACAAGCTCATTTTTGAATGTCACACTGCAGGAGTAGTACAATGGACGGATCACTCTTTGCAGCTTCTTTGAATTCATCCAGTGTGATCTGATCGTCTTTGTTCTTATCCATCTTACTGAAGATCTTGTCTACCCGTTGCTCAGGTGTCAGACCATCCTCATTCATTTTCATCATTATCACAGTGCCCACCATTTTGTAGATGGCCTTTGGAAAGAAACCAAATGTAGAATTTAATATAAAATTCAATCTAATTCTTTGCTGTGATCAAGTTCTGGAAATACATTCTAACAATAAAATGATTGCCAGTTTCTCAAAATATTTTTTCCTCTTTTTCTTAGGATCCAATGTCCAGATACTTAAAACAAGAAAGAATATATTTTACTTTCCTTAGATGTAGGTTTATTTTGGTGGTTACATTTTGCATCCTGGAATGAATTTCTTTCGCTTTCTCTTTCACAGTGCTTATTCTTGTAACTTAGTCTCTGAGTCAACTGCTTAGTTGAAGTATTTCACATAAATTTTGAATAATAAGTTTTAGAAGTAATCACCTAATAGGTTTCTGTGTGTACATGTGGCCACAATCTGGTATTAACTACTGTGGCAAGTAGCTGGCAGATGATGAAGGCGGTAAACTTTATCCTTCCTCTTATGTGTTGTGGTCATCTTAAAGCCCATCTGTGAGAGCTCACTTAAAATAGCATGTTGTTATCCCTATAAATTTCTGTAATCATCTGAAGTTAATCTCTGGTAAGGTTTTAGCTACTTGAGCTACAATTCAGTAATTTCATGGGTGTCAAGTGACTTTGAGATGGGTTTTCTAAATCCTGTGCTGGGCAGTTCTTGTGATTAATCCATTCATTAGGAAAAAGAAAAATCTCTTGATATTTAAAAGCTTATATGCACATATGTACTCTCTGCAATTCTCCAAGATTACAGCTTTTAATATGTTAGTGCTTTTACCACTTAGGCATGAGTTAGAGTAGGATGAATGTGTGCCATGTACGCTTTTAATGACACCAGCCTCTGGTGTAACATCTGAAGTCCGTATGAACAAGGAATCAAATTTTATTAATGTTCTGACATGTTATTTTTGAGTGTCATATTGATCTCACCTCTATAATTTCCAGCATTTCCACTCTTGTAATTTTACCATCACCATCCAGGTCGTACATGTTGAAGGCCCAGTTCAGCTTTTGCTCAAAACTGCCCCGAGAGGTGATGGACAGGGCACAAATGAACTCTCTGAAGTCGATGGTCCCATCTCCGTTTTTATCAAAGGTTCGGAAGGCGTGCTGGGCAAACTTTGAAGCATCTCCATATGGGAAGAACTGCAAAATAAAACAATTCAGAGAACTGTGGGTAATGCAGAGGAGTGAGCTAAATACCAGCCTGCAAAATACCGCAGTGAGGCGTTCATGAAGAGTGGCTGGTGAGCTGTGTGGAAAACTGAGGATCTGCAGTGGAGGGTTCCCTAACAGTTACACTGGAATGATTACTAAAAAACCTGTTTCTACAAAAATCTCTCACTTTGCCACAGACTATATTACAAATACATTTAATGTTACTTTAAAGCGAAATTAACTAGATGAACCTTAAAATGAAGTGTAAATGCATGTAAATAGGAGATTGTGTGTAATATTCTCTTACTATGAAATACAGCTGCCAGGGTGCATTTCAACAATATTTTAACATTTTAACCAGCCTTTTACATGTTGCAACCAAGTGTATGTGTGGGATTGTTGTTATATAACTTCATTTATTAAAAAAAAAACAATCCACACATATAAAAAAACACCATGAACATATGTTCTGTTCTGCCAGCCAACATTCAAGTACATAAGATGAGAACTGAGATTCAGTTAAACAATACTGTGCAATGCTTTTCATGTTTTATATCCATTATCAGTGAACACGGCAACTGACTGTAAGTTAACAGAATATTTTAAGTAACCATAACATGTAGGTTTTCAGCTGATGTATTTTCCCCTCTGGAAATGTATGGCTTAAGACATTTGAGCTGGTAGTTGTTCTTTATGTGGGCCAGACTCAAGAAAATGCACCTCTTAAGAAAGCCAATTTTAAATCAGTGCTGAGGTCCCATGGCAGTGCACGGACTATCCACAAACAATGTTTGTTTCTATATTCCCAGCACAATTTCATGGAGGTTTTCATGCTCCTAATATATAAACATGCATTACTCCCCATTTGAGAGCCATCTCAGTTTGTGCTTTTATAAATTCCAGTTCTTAGTAAGTACTGCATTTAATAATATCAGTTTGAATGAAAGTCTTCAGTGGCAGCCAGGAAAGTGGAACTGCATTTTGCAATTTTACATTTCCCAGTCCAGAGCTTCCTCTGCAGGCTCATGGTTGCTGTGGTCACCTGTGAATGCTCTTGAACAATACACTCAAATTTCATGGGGGATTTGGGGGATACTGCAGCATATACAGAGACCGGCACTGACAACCATCTGACTAAATATGGCACATCTTTGCTGCTTTTAGTTTCAGGAAGCCAAATAGCCATTTGGATACTGTCTCTTGCCCTAAAAATGCAGAACTTAGTGCACAGCCAGCTGCCTGCACTATGTGGCCATGTGGGTCATGTCAGGAGCCCCTGCTGTGTTTCCAGCAGAGTCCTAACCTGAAAGGTTCCTTTTAACTTACTGTTTTCTCAGATATCAACTTTTCAGACACCATTCTAGAAAACCTTTGCATTGCTGAACAATTGTTTCTCTGGCTCAGTGCATTATAGTCATTGCAAAATCTTCCCCTCAAAAGAGAGAGCAAGGTTAAATGTTGCCCAGCTCCATCCATTCAGAATATTGTCCTGTTGTGAATTACTCCAAATGGGATGAAAAACTGCTGTATCACCCCAGAAGTGGGTATCAAATATGCCCATCTCCCTTCTCCAAGTATCAAACTTTTGTCCAAGCAAAGAGAGCTTCCTCTGTGGGAAGACTCCTTGAGCTCACAATCCTACATTCAGCTGGGTCAGAACAAAGTTTTGTGACTGTGAATCCAAAACCTGAATGTTATTTGCAGGTTACTGAAAATCCTTCTCACGGCTTCCTCTTGTCCAGGAGCTACCTCCCCCCTCCAACTCCTGTACCAACTGCAGATGTTAACATAGATGATATTTATTTTACATGTGAGTGTAGATGAAAGGGCACCTCTCCAGACCAAAGGTGAGAGTTTAAAAAATGGCTTTCATGCCTTGTACTCCACCATGAATTCCAAGACCCCCTCCTTCTACTCTTGAGAGGCTGTTCAAAGCAGGAAAGACATGTCTCTTGCTTTTTAAATCTGTGCTGATGACTAGCCTGTGACATATGTGTTACAGAACAAAATACTTCACAATTTTACAGTCTTCCAGGTATTTTTGTTCAGAGCTGACTACTGCTGAGGATGCTGACTGATCTGTATTCCTGTGACTGTCACTCTACAGTCCCTGTAAATGAAAGGTGAAAGGAGGGAACTGGGACTGTTCTTTTCATTGTCTGGAGAACCAAAATACAGAAATGGCAAAAATGTACTGGTGGGACCAAAGAACTAAATTCCAATGAAGAAGCACACCTACACAAAAGGCTAAGAAATGGCAGGCACCCAAAAACATGCAAAAGCCCAAGAACAAAGCAGGGAATTAGGAGGGTCAGTGGCTGGAGGTGCCACAGACCAGTTTTAAATTATTCTTGAACATTTTGTTCAGTCTTCCACTAGAGAAGCATCAGCAAGCTGTGACTACCTCTTTGCCAGTTACACCCTTAACCATGTAGCAGGGAGAAAAACATCCTTCTAATTTTTTTATCACAGACAACACCACAAATTTTTCACTTCTGAGGTGAGGACAGTGGTGACACTGCTCAGAGCTAAGCCCCGGCTTCGGTAAAAAAACCAGAACTGATGCTTCTTTTTTAAAATTTTTTTTGTTTCTATTTGCATTCCTGTAGGGAGTAAATGCAGTAAAAGGTCCATAAGGGCTGAAGACACTCTTCTCGAGTCTGTACCTGCTGATTTGTGTTATTTTAAGCTCAGAACAACTGAAAAACATTGTCAAAACTTGTTTAAAAACCTACTTGAAGACTTCCATTGGCCTGTTTTGAAACAATTCATAAATAAGACATAGAGTAAAAGAAAACTAAAACAATTACAGAGCAAAAAAAGCCAGCTCTGGTAAAACATTATTTGGCTATTAAAACAGAGTGAGGCCTTAGCAAAGTATAAAGGTACAGGCTTCAGTTACTTTCAGCGTAGTCTGAGCCAAGTGACAATGGGAGACAGGGATCTCTGGAAGACAAAAACACATTTTTTGTCGGGGGGAATATGAAGGGGATGGTTTAGTCTGCCTCTGGCATGAGCTCAGTGAATACCTCAGAAACAAGTAAAGAAACACAGTGGATTTTCAGATACTAGAGCCACTGGGAGGGTTGGTGCCTTCAGCCTTCAGCCTTCTCTGCAAACCCTTGTCCAGGTGATCAATCTACTTATGAAGGTAACCAGTTCCCTTCTACTGCCATTTACCACTGAAAAGTCCACTCTACACACCACCATGGCCTCCTGCTTTACCTGCTTCCTCCAGAAATCAAGACAACAAAAAAAAGCCCAGGCTTTTTTACAGCAGCCAGTGCCAGGGGTTACCCAGCACTGTTCATTCCTTTGTTTCTGCTTCTCTAGTCTCATCTAGTGAAAGGTGTCCCTGGTCCAGTGAACAGTGTGCCTGCCCGTGACAGGAGGCTGGAACTAGATGATCTTTAAGGTGCCTTCCAACTCAAACCATTCTGTGATTTATTTCTTGCTTGGTGTGTTCTCTAACCAGTTAGATCAACATGTTGGGGTGTGAACAAAGTGTTATCTCCACAGTCAACTGCCAATTAGGAAAGGAAAAAGGAAAATTAAAATAAATTCCCTTATTCTGCTTCTGAGTGTTGGAGGAGAGGATTGCCTTGCAGATTCTTAGCTCCCACAGTGTTTCTGGACACCTTTCTGGTATATGGGGGGTATTCAAATGGTCTGGAATAAGAGTATCTAGAGAATATCATCTACAAATTGTATATAACTCTTGGGAAAACTGATCAAATACCTGGAAATATTTATCTGCTTGGCTGCTGCTACTTTAGCCTCTTTGAAGTGATGCTGTTCACAGACAACTCGGTGATGAACTCTATTCAGATCATCTTGGGGGGGAAATTTGCAAAAGCATAAAGCATATGCTAAAGCATATGGCTAAAAATTTAGCATATGGCTAAAACATAAAGAAAAAAAAACCAAATTCAACTTCCCTAAATTCCCCAGTGATGGAGAGGGTGGGAAACAGAAGGGTCTCTCCTTCCTTGGTAAGGTGGAGTGGAGTGAATCTATAGACTGGCCTGAGTGGTACTTTGTTTTCCATGTGATGTTTTATCATGGCTGAGATGCATTTCTATTAAAAGGGAAATTCTGCTATGAAATAGAGAAAAACAGAATTACATTAGTGCAGAGAAAGCAGAACATGCTGCCTACATGGTGCCAGGTCACTGATGTGAGGTCACTGATGTGAGGTCACAGCTTCCAGAACCAAGGTGGGAGCTGGAGCACAGAACAGGAGGCAGGGAAGCAGAAGGTGGTACAGCACTTCCGTATCCCAGGCTTGCAAGAAGATGGAAAAATCAGCTGCTGATTCCCTTGGCAAAGGAGATGCCCCATTTGGGGCTCAGCACTACCAGCTCTGTTGAGGGCTGGCACAGTGAAGAGGGATGAGGAGGCACAAGCATTGTCAGGGACCAGCGTGTGAAAACATGCCTCACAAATGGCTCCCATCAAAAATCCTTACACAATTGATGCTGTTATGCTTTAGGAAGGAGTTACTTACCCTTCTTATCTACTTTATTAGGTTTTATTTCCTCCCCTTTTGTAAGTTTGCTAGGCACCCAGCTCACCTTTGTTAGTGGAGAACATAAGCACTCTAAGAATCAGAGAGTTTGGCTGTGTTTGGAAGCTCATTCAGGTATTTTTTATAGCAAGCTCTTAAATTTGAACCCAGATGCTGACAGCTGCTGGTCAAGCCTGGTCCTCGGAGCTGAGGTCACTGGGGAGAATGCCTATGATGACTGGGGAGCTGGCTGCTGCTTGATAGTTTTGTAAGAGGTTGGAGTTCTGGGTTCCTGCCAGCAGTACAAACACAAGAGTTGAGGAAATAAGAAAAAGGATTACTCCTTAATTGTCTCCTTTATTAAAAAAAAATAAAATAAAGAATTGTAACTTCCTGCAATGTACTCTACACTTGCACTTCAAGTTCTAAGGCATGAGAAGGGGAAGAGATGTCCAGGCTGTGATTGTCAGGACCTTTGGGA